CCTTAAAATCATGGTTTTGTTTAATCAAAAGCCCAAAACCCAAAGATATTTAAATTAAAACAACACAAAAACATTCAAATCTGCCATTTATTACTCTGCAACCAGCAAGAGGTTTGTATTTTGGTGTAGATTAACTGTTTGTCATTTCAATGATTGATTACTCAACTAAAGTGGTTTGCCTCAAATCCTCATCTGCAACCCCAACACACACAGCTTCCGGTAAATGTAATGTGTCTGTGGGGACAGATGGAGCATTCCCTATTCTTTCTATTTTTGGCCACAGGAAGAAGTGTGATGTGTCAAGACTAGAGGAAATGATATGATTAGGAAAAACAGGGATGTTTGTCTATTGAGCATGCTGCACAGGAAATCTGTTTACAGATGAACAGCAAAGGGCAAAGATACACACCGTCTGATGTCATCCCTCATTCGACCGAGTGTTAGAAAACTACACCCTGTTTTTCAAATTCCTCTGGCTTTTAGACCTCCAATCAAACAACCATTAATCAAATAGAAGTACGTTTTTTTTAGGCTTTGCCCAGAGATGCTTACTGTGTTTCCACTAATCGCTCTTGAACGCTTTCCAATCCCGGTTGTGTGTTGTGGGTTTTTCACGGCCACCGGTGACCCCTTCCACCCCATCTCTCTTATCAGTGCTGAGCACACATGGATAGGAGTGTGGCTTCGGGGAGGACGTAAAAGGTCCTTTTGTCATTGCAACGCCTTGATGGCTTTTATCTCCACTGTTCCGCACCTCGAGTCTGGCTTTGAAGCTGAATACATATTATTAGTGGAGCGGGGTATCTGCACACAACGTCGACTTGTGGCTATTATGGCATAGCTGGCGTTCAGCCCAGGGAGGAAACGTCAAGGGATGTGTGAGGCTGAAATTAGAAAGTTGGAAGACATGATAAAATGCTCACATCCTTGAACAGAAATAGCAACCCTGCCTTTTGTCTTCTTTTGAAAGGCGGCAAAGAGATGGTGACTTAATAAGATCATCTGCCAGAGAAGAAGATCACACCTGACAAGCGTTGCACTCCCACATAGATTGTTTTGGCAGACTTTGACAGCAAACAGGATGGGTTTCCGTTTTCTGTCATATCCACTAATATCTTACCACAGTTTCAGTGCAATTAATAAAACAGGCCACCCAAAAACGTATGTGCTTATTTGTATTCCCTATTAATTGCAGCTTATGTCTGTCAAGGTGACCTTTACCCCCTTAAAGTAAGGCTGTAAGGGCAATTAGAACAAAATCACGATATTTTTGGACCAAATGCCGTGCTATCATAACGATATTGTAGGGTTGACCTTTGGTAATTTCAGAAAAAATATTTAAAAAAATAAAAAATCTGAGCAATATGGATAGAATGACTGATATATTAAGAAAATTATAACATTTGACTGTCAATCAGGCTTTAAAACAAGAAGACACAACACTTTTAGATATCCCAAATCCTCTTTTCACAATATCTATGTTATGTTGATATGCCCAGCCCTACTTTGAAGCCTCAAAGGATTGAATGTAAATACTAACATTCTAAAAAATTCTAAAAAACAAGGGTCAAATGATCCAAATATAGAGGTCATGTTATAATTCATCATTCTTCTGTGCTATTATCTCCTCTCCACACTGCCAATATTTCCACCTAATCACATTAGTCATGCTCTCTACTCACATTTCAGCCAGACATTAGATTGCAACAACGTGACTCACAGTGGAATAAATGAGCAAACATAATGGGACATAAAAGGCAGCCAAGCAGCGTTTATGCTCATGTTGAAAGTGTCCCTTTGACAGATCAGGCTTATTGTGAAGCCAGCAGCGTCCTTGAGCACAATGTAGGCTGCACGTCTGCCTCAAAGCATGATTTAACGCTGACTCTTAACTTCCTAACGACAGGAAAATATGAGATTCAGCAAAAACCGAGCAGTTAATTAAGCTTTTGTGTGTGCATAAATGGGATCAGGCGTTCAGAAATCGACAGAGGAGACAGAAACAAACTCACGTCTTTGCATTCACGCCTCTATTGATCGCTTTCCTCTCTTTGCGTCCCTGGAGAGGCTCTTCCACGGGGGATTTCTTTGCAAACTTCTCTGCAACATTGCGTCCAAAGTCAGAGTGCGATCGCCTTGAAGAGTTGCTTTCCTCCTCCTTTTTCTTCTCCTCTTGCTCTGCAACTTCTCTCAACAGCGGTTCGTCCGCGGCGTTGCCCCCCAAAAAGTATAAAAGTAGGAAAACTCCGAAACACACGGTGATCACAACTACTTTGCAGTGGATCCGCATGGTGAGAGCGACTTGTTGCGGCTGGGTGAAGCAGACGGGGCTCCGCTCATGTCTGCGGGTGAGGGAGAGCAGCCCGAGTTGACATTTTGTTACCGCTCCCCGCTCGCATTTTCCTGCAGATGATGATGGAGAGCGGAGAGGAGCTTCTGCAAAACGTCCATGGAGGATTAGGCATTGGAGGCGGGGCGATTGAGCCATTACCGTAAAGATGGTAGCACTGCCGCACGTGCAATCACCATGGAGGAGTTGAATGGTCAATGCCACATACAGAAAAATATACGAAGGGCTGGGCCACTTAGAGGTGAGGTATATTGCCTCGTAAGTTAAATTATAAGTTAGCAAAATGTAGGTAAATTAGGCTTGATACATGAATATGCTTTAAGAAAAAAACAGCCGACATCACAGCTCGCTAAAGGGTTTCATTTATCTTGTTGGCATCCCTTAAAACAGAAGCCTCTGAGTGATTATAATAAGGGGGAAATATAAAGGGCATTTTTCAAGTTTGTTATGTAAATAAGTTATTGGGCTTTTTTGTGTCAACTAAGATTTGTTAGAAAATGTTATCAACATGAATTGACTGAATTTATTTAAAAGTGGGCTTATTAGCACATGAATACTACTGTGTAATATATTTGTACATATTTAAGAAGTACAATATAGGAAAAGCACAAGTTTCATTTGTGGGCCATATCATTATACTTTTTGAATTTGCTGAGGGCCGATTCAAAACACCCCCGGTTTATGATGTTCTTAATGTACTAATGTACATTTGTTCGTGCATATATGTTAACATCTTAAAAACACTAGTGATTTATTGACCTTAATTATTGCCAGACAGCATTGATTGACACTATACTTATGCATTTGCTATTTGTTTGAGACCCACAGTTATGATTATTTAATTAACCACAGGCATGCAAACTATAAAATACACAAAGGCAAAATTAGCAAATACATAATGTGTGGTTAGATGATGGGCCCCTTGCATGGGCGTCACTTTGTTAGAAAAATTGGTGGGGACACTTTCTCCAGATTTAACATCAGCATAGCAGAAGACAGAAGATGTCTCTCCCCTGGGTGTTGAACCTGGAGCACCTGCATGAAAAACCAATGCATAGACGTCTGGACCAAAGCCATTGTGTTTTAAATATCATGAACTCCCAACTATAGGTTTTGCTGTGTGATTTTGAGTGAATTTGAAGCTTTATGCACACAACGAGCAGCCAGATATTGAAGACAGAACATGGCATAAGTAACAAATAAATACAGGAATAAATACAGCAATAAATATGTTAGAATAGAGGGTTTTCTTTAATGGAAAAAAAAACCCTGAAGTTTGGTTAAGTTATAAAAATAATGGGGCTTAATTGTATTGTTTCTAAAGGACATATTAAAGAAACCTGACTCCTGATGCCCTGGTAGCCTTGAGTTGTTCTGAACAGATGTAAAACATTTGACTGTCACTTCCTGTGATGAGTTTCAACAAATGTTTTTACAATATCTCCTCTGACAAGTCCTCTTATAACCCTAACCAATAATATAAGTAGAAGCCCAGCCGGTAAAATTATACCGTAACATGTCAAGGAAGCTTTGGCTCAAAGGGTAAGTGGATTTCTAAAAGTCAGAAGGTTGGTGGTTTGATTCCCAGCAGGGGAAAGTGCATTTTGGAGAGACATGTTTTAAACAAATGTACAGATTTAGTTTGCTTCTTTTGCAGTTAACTTAAGATGTTGTAACGGGAGTAAACGGAGGTCATATCTTATGGAACTAACAAGGCTGTGGTAATTCTGGTGTAACAATTGGAAATGAAAAGTCAGTGTGAAAGCAACGGAGGCTTATGTCCGGTTTATTCTAATGACATTTTCAGGAGACCCTGCTCCAGATGTGCTGATAGCCTTGGACGGTCACTCCCTGTGATGACAAATGTTCTTTAACAATATCTTGTTGTCCCCTTGTAACCCTAATTCTAACCCTAATATACGTAGAAATTGGTCCTGCAAAAGATGTACTGAAACATCTCTGGGTGTTTGGCTCGATGGGTAAATGGATGTCTATGAGTCAGAAGGTTGGTAGTTCAAGACCCAGCATGGCAAAGTGTGAGACATGATGCGATATGGAAAGCAAGATGATGTGATAATGTGTAAACTGGGGCTAAGAAGGTCTCTTGCTTTGTGCCAAAAAGTCAGGCAGGTGTACAGCTTGGGAGATGGAGGGATGTAACAAAAACGTAATAAATAATAATAATTTAAATAATAAAAATATCTTACTAATACAAAAAGAAGTGATACAAATAATAATTAAATACATTACTTTATTTAAAAAAAATCTGTCTGGCGATAACGCATTATAAAAAAAAAGAAGAAGTTGCTTAAAGAATATTCAAAAGAATTAAGCAAATGCAATAAAAAAGATATTATTAACGTAGTAAAACCACCAGGGGAAGTGTTAGGAGATGTATGTAGTGATTTTCTTTTTTTCTCATGTAAACTATGCATTCTGGTTCAACATTCAAACAACACTGCCCATTGTTTACATTTTCTTGACCTCCAACATTCAACATCCAAGTTCTTTATTATCATAGCACAATAATTACAAGGAAAAAGCCTAAACCTCATGATGGTTTTGTCCACCTCCTTGAGTAACTTAACACCATGGACCTCAGATTTGGGACACAAAAAGCTTCTTTTTTTTTTACTGCCAGTTTGCACTTCACATTACGGTAAAACATGGGCGCTGCATCCATGAGCTGCCAGTGAAGCTTGTTAGGATAACTCTGTATTTCTCTGGTGAGTGGTTACTCTTTTATAGGCTATCTTTATATGTCCCGTGTTTTAGTGACAGTCTTTGAGGTGATTCATACAGTCCATTCCCACTGCAGGCATTGGCATAAAAGCAGTGTTAGATAGATAGTGGTTGCATCTGTCAGCTAGCAATGCTGCTGTGCTATGTTAGCCGACACACGAGGAGACTAATCATGTGTTTACAGTATGAAAACGAAACTACCGTTAGAAACCTATGCACTCAGGGTTACATAAAGATTTTCGGAAGATATCGCTAACTTAAAGACAAACACTTAATCGCCTTTGATTGTTAAAGTTTAATGTTGAATTCGGCATGCATGTTGGGCAATCAAAATTATATTTTAGACAACATTTTGACATTGGCGACTTTTCATGCATGTGACGTCCCTAACTTTCTTCTCTGAAATGACGTCAGCGCCATAGGATTTCATCTTGAAAATTAACCATTAATGTTAGCATATACCTTTTTAAAACATGCTTCCAGGTAGATTTGAGTCATGCCGAATATAAATATAGACCATAATACATATTACAAAGGGTTTAATGTTGTTTTGAAAGATACACAAGATTGTCAACAAGCAAGGTTTATTAAAAAGTGTAGTTTTTGTAATGCAGTTTGGGATGCGATCTTTATTAACAAGAGATGAGGGACATTTTACATTCTGTTCTTGTCTATCTTATTATATTTTAGATGTTTATAGAATCCTGCATTTACCAGGTCACTTTTATAACATTTAGCTTATTGTATTTCATTTGATTTCATGTAGTTCACTTCTTCTGCATGACTTGCACATTGGTTTGCAACAAAATCGTGCACTATTTTATTTCTTCTCTGTTTCTTCTTGCACCATATAGTTTTATGTCTTATAATATTATATATTTATGTTGCATCGTTTAAGGAGCATGGGAGTTACGATTTTCATTGCCATAACCACACTGCATATGACAATACAACCTTTTAATCTTGAACATTTTATAAGCTAAAAAAAGTCATAGTAAAGATACTTTTAGGAAGTAGGAAACAAGCTATGTTTACAGTTCTCTCTCTAGTGTGGCACACACGTGGGCTGCTGCTTGTGGAGACATGATCAACTACAACAACATGTAACAGAGTCAACCACAAGGTGGCATGCTAAAGTCAGCTGCTGTGCAATGCAATCCTATACATTGTAACTGGACATTGAGATTGTTTTCCTGTCATTGTTTCTACAGGTCTGTGTTACACCAGCAATCACAATGATAACTCCTGCGTTTGACCTGAGCCAAGATCCAGAGTACCTGATCCTCTGCATCCGAGTTCCCTACACCAGAACATCAGAGTTTGACTTGTTCATTGATGGCACAGATTTCAAGTTCTACGCCAAGCCCTACTTTCTCAGGTGAGATCCAACACAGATAAACTGATATATACCTGTGTATTTCTGTTGAAAAGGAACCTAGTTTGGATGAGGGTTTATAAAATGAGGTCATTTAGCTGCATTTTGGAGATTCAAAATGTGCAGACATGGATAATGAGCGATCACACTGACAAGTCAAAATAGTACTATTGTATCTACATATAAAATCAAATCACTCAATGTAATAGTACAGCCAGTAAAAAGCACCAGCATTGTTTTACAAAATGTGTGAACTGGAGTATAATAACATCTTTATTATACATGAATAAATCCAATAAATAATAACACTTTCTTATAAAAATGTGTCAAGGAAATCCCAATTATTCCTTATTGGGACTATATGTCAGAATATTTTTAGAATATGGTGTTTTTAGCTCGAAATCTTTTTGGCAATAATACTTTGGGTTTCTTGACTGTCAGAAAACATTTCAGCACAACTTAAAAAAACTATTTGTGAAACTTTATTAATACACAAACTTTCAAAACTTGTATTGCTTAAAATGTATTTAGAGTAACCTAAAATAAGGGTATGAGAAAGCTATTTTGCAAGTTCCCATAAATTCAATTCAATGTTTTATTCTTAATTTTTGGAGGTCTTGGTAAGTTGGTATGAACTGATCACGTCATTGGTCTGAATATCAATAATAATAATAATAATAATAATACATTACATTTATAAAGCGCTTTTCCTGGTGCTCAAAGCGCTTACAAGCAAGTAAAACAAAAATAACAACAAAAGTAGTAAGTGCTAAGGTAGGAGGAATAAGGGCAAGGGGTTAGTTGATTAGGAGTTGAAGGCAAGAGTGAAAAGGTGAGTTTTGAGGGATTGTTTGAATGATGTGAGAGTGTTGGCGGATCTGACGTGGCTGGGGAGGGAGTTCCAGAGTGTGGGGGAGGCTGCTGCGAAGGCCCTGTCACCCCAGGTCCGGAGCTTTGTCCTGATGGGCTGCAGTAGGTTAGCTTCAGCAGACCTGAGGCGACGGGTGGGGGTGTATCGTTGGATGAGGTCACAGAGGTAGGGGAGGGGGGTTTTGGACATATTGAAATATATAGAAATGAAACTAATCTGAATGTCCTGCAGTGCTGAATGATAGCAGGGATTACAGCACACAGTAGGTGGCAGGATAACCACTCCAGTGAGTCTCTGAATCAAAAAATACTGCAGGCAGGTTATCACTTTCTGATATTGATCTGACCAGGGCCGGCCGCCGCACTGTCGTTATAGATGTTCGCATAGGGCGCTAAACTGTAGAGGGAGCGCAGGGGGTGCACGCCAAAAAAATTTTTTTTTTAATATATATATGTTTTGTTCTTTTTTTAGGCGCCCCCCAGATCAGGATTCATATGTTTTTTTGAGAATATGAAAAATAAAACGTAGGGGCGCCCCAAAACACTGCAGCCCCCTCTATGTTTTTTTTTGTTTTGTCCTGCGCCGAGAGAAGNGAGGCCGGAAAAGAGTGAGACAGGTAGCGCGCAAAAGTAAAAGTGGAACCGAGAGTGGTACGAGAGACAGAACGAGAGCAAGACAGACAGACATTACGAGAGCGAGACAGTTTGTCCCCGTACCACTGGTTGAAAACCACTGCTGTAGATCACTGCCGGTACGTGCGCTGGGAGCGCACCGTTTAAGTTTGAAAGTTGAAAAGTTTGTGTGTCTGAAACGCTATGTGATACAGTACAGTTTACACAGCACAGTACATGTTCTGTAGCTACTATTGCACTAAATGCTAACACTTGAATACGTTATGCAAATATGCAACTTGTTTGTTGAAATGTTAATAAATGGGAGCTTCCTCAAACAGCCATCTCTTTCCCGACAATCCCCTCTGAGCACGAACCCTTACATATGGTAATTAAACATTAAAACACCTGCGGCTTATAGTCCAGTGCGGCTTATATATGTACACATCATTCAATTTAGCTGCTGCGGCTTATATTCAGGTGCGCCTTATAGTCCGAAAATTACGGTATATATTTTTTTATCTGGATTATGTTGCTTGGATCAAATTTAATATTTTGCTGCCATCAAAAAAAGGTTGCATGAATTTTCAATCTTTCACTTTTTTACAAAAAAATTCACCAAAAGTATAAAAAATACCAGAAAACAAATCAAAATGCTCTTAAAAAATGTAAGTAAAAATGCCATCTCAAAGTGCTATTTTTAATGAATTATTGACGGAAAATACACAAAAAGTGGAAAAAAAAATCTTCTATAGAAAATAATGTAAATGTCATTTGTTTTACGTCGTGGGGTACATATGTAATATTCATATAAATGCATATCATTGAAGTTTTACAAACAATGAATAATGACAAAACAGTGACTGAAGGCTACCAGAAGGTGGCATGACGTAGCAAAAAGAGAGAGGGCATTGTTAGTTGGGCAAATTAGCATACTGAAATGAGTTGTATTACCATATTTACTTTCCCCTTTAGTAACTCAACTAGTAGCGTATTGTCATTTGAAAAAAAGGATTCTATACGGGAATCTGTTGGCTGGGCTTTCTGCCTGCAAGGCGCTGACATTGTTCTCTGACAATATACAAATCCCCAGAGGACCATGAGTCTTTTCTCTGCCCCCTGCCAGAGGAAGGTCGGAGAGAAAGCAACCGAGCTGCCAGAGCGCCTCAGGGCTCCTCAACAGGAGAGACACTTCCCATTACGAGAGGTTGAACTTGGACCTTCGCTAATCACTGCGTCTCTCTGCTGTGTGTTGACCAATTCGACCAAGTGTTTTGAAATGTATCTAAACAAAAAGTGCAATAAGAAGATGACAACTTACTCTTATTAAAATATGCGCAGTGTATCAGAAGTTAAAGGGCAAGAGCTGTGGAGTTTTAAAAAAAAAAAAAAAAGGGCAGCTTTGAACAGAAATGTGAAACGTATACAAAGGAATGTGCAAGGTTTACAGTATGGAGTATGAGAGATGGCTCCACTTTAGTTCAATGGCTCATTCACTTAGATTGAGACGTGCCACTTGTTAGCTGAAGACTCTTCCGCAGCAGCTCCTGAAGCCTCGGCACTGCGAGAGGATATTGAATTGTCCTCCGGCTCCTCTAACAGCGTGCTCATTCCAGCACTTCCACTGGTTAAGCAGGCGCGTGGCTCGCAGCTTATGTGCGGTGCATGGGTGTCGCGCTCTTGAGAGAGGATTTAGATGAAACAGATAGCGTTCTCACAGGAGGGAGTGCCGTTCTGTGGCGGGGTTTCCAACCGGCGCGAGGGCTGCTGGCCGCTGATGAGCAGCCATCAGTCAGCAGCGCAGAGACCATTAGCCGCAGCCTGAGTTTCAAACATTACGGCTCCCTCGCCTCACTCTGCATGCTGAGACTGAGTGCCTCAGTCGGGAGCCCGGGCGTAGATAAATGGGCCAAATTAAACTTAATGGCTTGATTGACAGGTCAAATAGCATTAGCCTCAGCCGAGTGTGAAGAATGGCCGGAGATTTAGGGCGGCTCGCCATCGAATCCAGAAAGCAGGCTCGTGATTTTAACTGTTAGTCATATATTTCAAAGGGCGAGTACAGCTCCTCCTTCCTTTCGATTTCTTTCCCGCCCCCTTCAAGTTGACAGATGCATGTGGACACAAGTGCTAATGAAGTATAAAGTGGCCCCTCTGTGCTCTCCAGTGTCGGGGCCAGCGCTCTGACAGGCCGCAGCTGTCCACTGGAGGCCTGAGGTCTCACACCAGGTCGGGTTAAATAAACCTGACAGCTCGGCTCTGTCTACCTGCTGCACTCTGTTATGGCTGGCTTTTAGAAATCTGACCACGTTAGAAAGAACAAGTTTGCAGACGGTGTCGTGAAACGTCTCTGTGATCGGATGCTTGATATGATCACAGCGTGCCTTCCGAGGTCACGTGTCGACCTTTTGTGAAATCCTGGAAGTGTTTTCCAACCCTCAGCGGTGTTTTGACAAAGCATATTTACTGCATGCCATCAGGCCATCTGGACCGGTAGGGAGCGGCGCAGAGCAGGCCGCCCCCATCCAACTGGAGGAATTAGGTCAGAAATTAATTTGCAATCAGCAGAAGCCGCCATACACTGCGCTAATGCTCAATGGAGCTGATTGGACCCAGCAGAGATGAATGGACCAGGTCTGCTTACCTTCATCACAGGTTTAGCTGCAGGATTAATGATACATATATTGGCAGTAGCAATTTAACCATTTAGATTGCATTTAGTTTTTGTGAATAGCATTTTTTAATTGCAAACTCATGTTGTGTAGGGCTGCTCGTTGAAACAGTTGAATTGTACATCAGGGACCCCTGAGCTGCTTGCTTTTCTTTATTTATATATTCTAGCAGGAGAAGCAGCTTCTGAAAAGCATTCACGAAGGATAGCTCGACTTGTAGAGCTGGCGGACAATTTCTGCCGCTCAGTCTTCACTACAGCTGACCCGGGTTCAATTCCTACCTGTGTACCATTTCTGCACATCACCCCCCACTGTAAACAGCCTATCCATCTACAATAAAGGCAAATAAATGATCTGAAACAAAAGAAAAGCCATGAGGTGAACAGTGTTTCCCACGGGAGGTTGTATGCTTTAGATATTAACGGTCACGGTGATGACACGGCAAAAATAAATCGCACCCACAGAGATCTGCAAACCTAACGGGGGTCCGTGCTGACATCTGATTCAGGTACAGCCTAATGGCACATTTCCACTGCAGCGGGGTAGCCCCGTTTAAGTGTCCTCGCTCAGGCTTCAGGCTGCCTCGCTTGCCGTCCGAGGCCGTGGCGCATTTCCATTACAGTTTAGGACCTGGGGCAGCAACGCAGTGTAGACGGGGCGATCGGCTTTTTTTTGGCCAATGAGATGTAGGAACGTCGTCACCTCCTCGCTCGACCACGGTGTGCTTTTCTTTGACGTTGCCATTTTTGTAGCTCCTCCGTTTACAAAAATGCTGCAAGCTTGCTTCTAGATATATATGCGACGCTAGGGATGATCTCGCGACGATTCTCTCTGACCAATCAGCAGTCG